CGTGGATATCAGGGCCACTGAGATTTTGTGCCATTTTTAATTTAAAAAGTTGGCACACACCAAAATACTACACGGCAGAACAACTCAGAAGACCAAAATCTTTATACACATTTCTGTGAAAAGGGGCGATAATTTGGGGCTGGTAAATTTCACTCTTCTGTACACAAAAATTATATCCAGAATACACACGTGATTTCTTCTGGCTGATATGCTGTATTGTGGACACTAAGCGTCGAACAAGTATATCACATACTTTTATGAAAAATTTAACAAATTAAATAACTCTGTAACTAAAATATTTGATGCAATTGTTTTTCAGCGTGTGTCCTTTTTAACTGAAATACGTTTTCTTGTGTGATCATTGATATAAATACATTTTAATCTGAACCAATAACATCTTTTATGCATTCAATAAACTTCTTTTTAAACACACTTTTATTTCTGTACAAATTAAACATTAAATTTATTTTAAAAATATTTTAAAATCGTTTACATTCATAGGTTGGAAATGTAGACCAATTTTTCAACAGCATTAGTAAAAATGTTCAAATAATTCTGATCGTAGATTCTGAAGAAAAAAAAAGTACATTTTAAAGGGAGATGTACTTTAAACAAATTGCCACTTAAACAATCGTGTACCCACTCAGATTCCTACTTTAAAACTAACTGTAACTATAATCTTTACTTCATTTTCGTTCGTCTATTTTTCTTTCATATTTTCAATCCGTCACATGACCTGAATTCACCGCTAAAAATCCTCTTTTGATCCAAGTTCTTCAACTTTTCACACACCAATCACGAAGACATTTCGCAGAAACTCAGATCGACCTGGCCCACAAGACACTGTTCGTAGTGGCACAAATTTTTAGAGCACTTACAGAAAAATCTGGCCCATGCATTGATTTAATTTTTTTTAAAATGCCGTCCTTCAAAGCAGAAGATTGCTTAAATAATAATAATTCAGGCCGGACCGCGAAGAAAACACAACGCCTCACCATTAGTAAGATCAACTGGTTAACGCTGTTTAAGGAAATAATCCCTGTTTACACTGATAATCATACGAAACCCATGATTATTAAATCAAGTGGTGCATACAGTCTTATGGGTTTACCTACACACGTCAATGCAAATGGCAACCTCAGAGTCGAATGGTTGGAAAATCGTGGAAGAATAATTGGGAAAACTTATCCAGCTATTTCAAGTATTTTGGCCAACGAATGCACAAATTTAAAACCGTCAATGACATATTATTCATATACGTTCTTGGCAGATGATCCAGAAGTGGTTTGCCATTGCCTTCTTCTGTGTGTGAATGGAGTAATTGTTGGGATGCCACGGAGGAAAACTCCGTGATGCCTAGACCACGGCCTTGCCCAACACAAGTTATAAATTCGGGCACCG